CTCTATAAGCTTCTCAAATTATAGAATTCAACTATTCTATTAATACAAGTACAAAGCAACTACTAATGAACGCAAAAAATCTCTTTCTCAGGATTTACTGTTTGTGTCCTTTGATCATGGCACATACAGACAGTATGCCCTCCAGGTAAACAAATAGGTGCATTGTTTTATTGCTGAACATCCTTTTCCCAATCCTAAAAACTATAGCCAAAAGAATCAACTCATTCGATAAGTATTTACTAGAAAGACGTTTGAAAGAGCTCTGCTTTGACCTTTAGCTTACAGGGTTTACAGGAGTTAACATGACGTAGTAAAGAGCCTAAAATGAATGAGACAGCCAAATACAGACAGATTTAAAGGGTAAAATGAGTAGAAAAGTTGAAATAAGGAAAATTTATTCAGGACTTTTGAGCAAAATAACCAGGAAAAAAGTGAAATTAACTTTGTTAAAACCAAATGTTTTAAAACATTTTGTTTTTATAGAGCAATGGAAGCCATGTTTGTCTGCATACCTCCAGGTGCGTCTTTTCTTTTGTCTGTATCTATGTGATGGCTAATAAAAGGCTAAATTAAATAACTTTGATCTGGTATCAGAAACATCTGAGTGTCTGCAGCCCAACTGTGCTCTAACAATAATAACCGACTTCAATTTGACTAAAGTGGAAACGTTCAATGAGATTTTAAAGAATGCACATGAATGGGGGCTCTGTGAAGCATCCCACAACGTATGATTCAGACTATATGTTCAAAAGACACCCTTTGTGATTTCTTGTTTTAATCAGCACCGATGCAGAGCATGATCAAGCCAAGGCATGATAAGACCCATGGGAGAGGAAAGAGGAGGCCGGTGGGGCCTGGACCACCTCCAGGCTGCTCAGCTCCTGCATTAGTCTCCACGTGGCTGTGTCCTTTGTCTGCCAGTCAAAGGGCTGCTGAATGGGGGTCAATTGAAACCAATTCCCTCTGTCGGACACAATTAATGGGGTTGCCCGGGCTGGGCGAGAGGGGGGGCGGCTGCAGGTCTGTGGTTACTGATCCTGGCGCACAAGCATGTCGGGAATTTGCCACCTGAAATTTGTCTTCTGACAATAACAAACCCACAGCCTTTCAAAGCCACCTCCTTCTCAGTGATGTATCCGAACCTGTCCCTGAACCATCCATCCTGACTAAATGTAAAAACTGTATAGAACAGAACAGGATCTGGTTTCATTCGTTCGTTTTCTGCTCCAGCAGCAACACCTTTAGAATATTATCTATAAAACATTATAGAAATGTATAGCATTTCAAGTTAAAACCTTAATATTAAATTACATACATTGATGAACCACAATTACATATTTAACTTGTATATTTCTTTTCATTAAAAAAACAATCACCTAAAGCTGATGAAAAGCACCCTTCAGTTTTGCAGAATATGGCACAAAAGTAATCTTCATTCAGGATGTTTACCACCACTTGTCCAATAAAACCAATAATATGAGGGGTAAACCTCAAAATGTTGTTTATAGAGAAGCTGGCTGTTAATACAGTGCTGTATCTTCACAGATTGCTGGAACGTTAAGTGGAAGGAAAACATTTTAACAACAAAAGTTGAGCAAACAACTAACTCAAAAAGCACAGGCTTGCACACAACTGTGAAGCAAAGCTCATTTAAGAAGGTCACTGCACAGCCATGTTAAGATTATTAGCTGCAACTGTAGCATTTTTTAATCTTAGGTTTCTCCTGAACTGGAGGTGATGGACACATTTTACTGGGCTAAAGAGAAAAAACACCAGCCCACTGTTGCTCAGTCCTGTTTTATCAGATTAAAGCACATTTTGTCTTCAAGGCAGAGTGGAGAGACACTGACTGCAAGCAGAAGTCCAATGTGTGGCTTGGAAGATAGGTAGCCCACCAGAATCTATACTGTCAACTAAAAGAGTTTAAGAGGATTTAACGATTTCCTCAGTTGAAAGCTTTATAAAAATGCTGATTTTATGCTTTATGCAGCTTCCCACGCAGCTATACGTACCAACACCTGCTTTATGGATCATGGATAGAGCCTTATTGGCCACATCCAACCCCCAAAAGAGAATCAGCACCACATACGATCTAAAGGTCCCTATAAAGGCAAAGTTGGCTTCCTCATATCAGCAGACTGATTGACTCCCTCTATCCCATACTGCACTGATGCAACAACTCATGCAAAAGGAGCCCTAACTAAAATACACCTGTACATAACGTACAGTAGCTACTGTACACAAACACAGCGGGCCCACATTTCTGTAAAAGAAAAACTACACATTAAATTTTCTTTCTATAATAAATTTACTGCAAAATGAATTTCTATAACATTAGGCCCTAATCATTAATATTCTCAAATCATTTTTTCAACTGAGGTGTTAATGATTTTCTAACTGATTAAAGATGCACCGCTATGTCATCATTTTTAAAAGAAAAAAAGAAAGGAAATTTTGAGTCTTTTTTTTTTTAATCGGTTGATTCCGGGCAGAATGAACAAGACAATAAAGCAATAAAAAAATGGACTCCCCAACACTGAGACAGAGAGGCCAACCTCCCCGTGTCTGAATCAATCTGCGGATCGATCCACCAGCAGCCCATCTACAGCTAAGCACTTCAGAGGATGTGCACTAATTGTCCTGTTGACATTAATTGTCATTAAAGGGCTTAAAACGGCCTCCGAGCTGTGACTTACATCCTACGGAGAGGCTTCAGTCCATTTGTTTATCTGCGACATCACAACTGTCTTGGCCTATATCCAGGTTTCAGCGTGGATCAGGCAGGTTGACCTCAACTTGGGTTTATGAAGACTGCACCGATTGCATCATCGCCTGACTGCATTAAGGCTCTACCTAAAGCTTTTCCCTCAGTGTTTTTTTCTGGTTATAGTTCCTATTTTCTGACAGTATAGGATCCTGCCCATGCTACATTTAACATAGTAGTTCCATATTTACCATTTTTAACCTTGTTTTGCGATGATAAACATGTAATACAGAGTTTAATCTGTATTTATGTCCAACTGGCCGCTCAATGTTCATGGTTCAGTAATGTTTCTTCTCTGGATCAATTGAGATACTGACTATTGCAGACTGCAAACTGCAAAAATTCTTACATTTTTTAAGTGGTTTGTTTCCATTACATGATGAACTCATATTGCTAACTGCCAAATTAGACCAAGAACCAGCAGAAAATTTTGCCAAACTAAGTCTAACCAACTCGTTCCGGTTCGGTTTGTATTAAGTATCTGCTTGTGTTGAGCTCTTTGCTACGTCTCCAAGTTTAATTTGAAACTCCTGCATGTGTTTTATATATATATATATATATATATATATATATATATATATATATATATATATATATATATTTTTTTTCATTCACATCACTGACTTCCTATTTTAAAATACCTGCCAAGACATGAAATGAAGGAAACCAGAACATAGAGCCTTCCAGCCACCACCCTGTTTATTAGAACTGCCGTGATTTAAGCTGAGATTTTACAATCAGCCCGAAAAAATTGTATTTTGAATAAAAATGTTCCTATTAAATTAGAATAGCATTTTTGACATTTTAATAAATGGATGGTAATGTGGTAAGCAAGAGTATCTTTCTTTATACCTTTATTTTTGTGTTTTCATTTACTACATATCTTCAATAAAAAAAATTGATCGATCAAACAACTTTTCAACTATTATTTCTAATAAACCTTTGATAAACTGTAATTACATTTATATACTTTCAATCGTAATCTAAAACATATAAAAGTACTCAAACTGTTTTTTTGTTGTTGTTTTTTTCAAATTTGTAATGAAACTCAATCAAATGACAGAGATGATAATCATTTTGCCTTCAGCCCAGACTATGAGACTGAATTATATATTTGATGAAGCTATAGAGGGAAATAGATTTATCAGACCAGAATAACTGGATATGAGTGGGAGAGGAAATGAGCCAAATATAAGATAAATTAATTTGATGCTTTCAGACTTTGCCACGTTTATCTATAGGCCATAAAAAACTGTTGCTTCTTTGAATATTTCAAAGTTTGGAACACAACATCTCTTATCCCAGTGAGCCCTGATAAGATATCAATGTAATAATAGTAATGTAGTAACCTAAATGTGTGCCAGGTGACATTTAACTGCAGACTGTCGCTACTGAATAGCCTCAGTGTTTTCAACATCTGCTAAAGCGGGGAGCGTACTTGCATTTATTATCTCCAAAGCGACACGCATTCATATGACCAGCGGGTCGATGTAATCTGATTACAGCCCAAAAATCAAATGTCCTGCACCAACTGGGAGACGATGAATCAGTGCCCACAGTGGAGTGGAAAACATGTGAATGTGGTGCAGCTCAGCTCAGCTCAGCTGGTTATCCCCTAGTGGGCAGATAACAAACTACAAAAGGTTTCCTCTTCCGTGCCACACAGAGTGAAGAGCTCTCCAAGTGATTTGAGTCCTCCATTCAGAGAGCTTTCCCACCTCCTCTCTCCTCTGAATGGGGGCTCTAGTTGACACCAACAATGCACACACCTTGAACAGGCCCACTGATTCGAGGACCATTGTGCCAGAGAGGATCGTCCTACAAGTGTCTCTCCCACTCTGTTATCATCGGACATATCACTGTCTGTGGTGGGCTTTCATGACTTGTCCCACCCCCCACCAACTACTCATGGACAATGCAGACTAACTGCACTGCTTCATTTCTCACTGGCCTCATTTGCAGAGGAGGAGGAGGTGAAGGAGGAGGGGAAAAGAGGAGTAAATGGCACCATAACATAACAATGCACTTGGAGGCTCAGTTGGCAAACACAGCTGGGGCAGAAACAGTGAGGCGTTTAATGACTCATAACTCTGAGCAGACCCTACAAAGCTAAAACTGCTTTTACTGTATTGCAGTGTCCTTCTGATACACACAAAGCCTTTAGATCAACATGAATTTGGCAGCGCTGGCTGTAAAACATTCATGCTTCACAATAAGTTCTGCAAAGGACACTCACGTCAAATAAGGTCCTGGAGTCCAACCTGAAGTTAAAGTCCCCAAAGAGGAAGTAAGGCAGCTTGTCATATCGTTGGTCTGTGATCCTGCAAAACAATCAGAGAAGAAATTAATCCAAAAGAAAACGTCAGAAAACAGAAACTAAAAAAAAAAAAAAAATGCAAAGACACTTTATAGCAATCAATAATCAGTGAAGCCTTTTAATTGGAAGAGGATTTAGATTGTGAGGGTTACAGCACCACCTGGTGGGCTGAACAATTCCATCTAAGAAGGTTACTTGTGTTGTTTATTCTAAGGATTTTTGTGTTTCTGTGTGCGTCTGTGGGAAAGATATCCCAGAGTTAGAAAATACATCAAGTGATTTGCTTTCACAAGCAGTCAATTATGACTCTTGCCATAAGGTTCCACTTGGTTCTTATATATGAATCTTTATTGAAAATAATTTTGGGGACTAAAATCGAATACTACGGAAGAAGACGGAAGGAGAGGTTACAAAGATAGAGGGAATAAGAAGTAAGGAACAGAGAAAAAGAGATAGAGACAAGAAATAGTGCACGAAAAGAGAAACAACAAAACAAAACAGCAAAGACGGATATCCCAGAAGATATACAGTAACCCCTAGAAGTCTGCTTCTACACCTGTTTGAGATGATATATAAAGAAAACAAACACCATAAAAACAGCAAAAAGAACACAACCAAAGTAAACATCAAAAAAAGCTTCAAAAGCAGTGGGTATCCCTTAGATATCTACATGTGTCAAAGTCAAAACCTATGCTGATTACATAATATTATTCAGGGTTTTATATATCTGTAGCTGCAGCTTAGTATTATCATTATTGTGCATCTGTGAACACCTGGAACCCAACTTCCATTGGCATGGGCATGCTTGTGTATAAAGGATTTACAAAGTTTCTTTAGAATGAAAATACGCTTAATAGCAGGTGTGGACGGTGCCAGACTCACCCAACAGGGCCCAGGATTGATAAAGAGGCTATAGTATCCTGGCCCCAGATATCCAAAAGCACCCCAGATCACTGCGACACAAGTAGGGGAGACATAAGGATAGCCATACCCACCAGAGAAGTGTAGCCGGGAGCACCCAGACCCCCAAGGCCAAATCCTGAACCAGTAACAGCCCTTCAAGCCCACATATGGTAAATGGTAAATGGCATGTACTTATATAGCGCCTTCAAGTCAGGAGACTTGACCAAAGCGCTTTACACTACATTCATTCACCCATTCACGCACACACTCACACACTGATGGTGGCAAGCTACATTGTAGCCAAAGCTGCCCTGGGGCTCACTGACAGAAGCGGGGCTGCCGTACATTGGCGCCACCGGGCCCTCTGACCACCATCAGTAGATGGTGCAGGTGAAGTGTCTTGCCCAAGGACACAACAACACTGAAAGTCGGAGTCGGGGCATGAACTGTCAACCCTTCGATTTCAGGGCAAACTCCTACATCCAACGCCACTGTCGCCCCATATCCCTATTGTACTCCCATACCCATGGATGCCAGGCAATCGCAACCCAGGCAGTCCACGCCCCTAGGCCATCTCTGCTGAGGTGAATGACATGCTGGAGAGAATGCAGCCATTTGATTTAGCAATGTTGAATAAGGGATACATCTAAAAGTTGTAGTATACTAGAACCAGAGTCGGATATCCCTGGATGTAGAGACACATATAAAAGCTCACTGTTAGAAGGTGACATCATAGATCTTAGGAGTCACCAGGTCTGTAAAACAAACATTAGAAACTAACTAGAGGCGAAAAAGTCCTTGCAGAGCTTTTCTGTAGTATCATCACAAAAGCAGAACTATGGAATTTCCTAAACTCTTCTTGGACTTCATGGAGAATAGTATGTATTGGTCGGATGAGACTAAGACTGCAACAAACACCTCAAATTATGCTATTCTTTTCACTATTTTCTGCACATTAACATATCATCTTCGACTTAAGTAGAGTCAAAATGTTTCAGTTATTATAAAATACTTGAAATCTTGATTAAGAAGTATGTATGTATTGTATCTATCTAGAACTGGTCCATTAAGACTGAAATAGAACCCCGTGTCTGAGTAATTTTCTTCAGATAATCTAAATCAGGGCAAATCACCAATGTAACTCAGGGACCTTCTTCTACAGCAACAACTTCCTTCCATCCTCTGGGATTTGTCTGCGGTGCATTTCCCATCCATTCAGGGCATTTGAGTGAGCCCTTAGCACAGTTAATCATCATCTGACGACGTAAATGAAGCACAATTAAATTAATAATCCTTGATAGGCTGCTTTGAAAAACAGAAAATTCAGTTTGCTGCATTGATCAAAGGGACAGTGAGCTAACACGACAGTGTGCAGGTCTGCTCTAAAGATCCAAATGCTTCTAAAAGACTTTGGGAATGTGGTTCTGAAGAATTATCTTTGATTTACATCCTATAAAGAGCTTTAACGTTCAGACCAGCAATGGTTCACTTATATGAATGTGTATACAAAGATGAGACTCAATGTTTGAGTACAATGTTAGAAGAGTCACAGTGGATCATTTTCTGTAACATGGACTACTTCCAGATCTACGCAAGTTCTGCAGAGTGCCAGCATCTCGGTGCTTTTAAAAAATATAGTAAAATTAAAAAATGCACCTAAGCGACATATAATGAACTCTTATGCCTCATCACCTACTTAAAAGTGGCTCTTCTACTGAGCAGAGATTAGAAATTAAGGTGGATGTAGTGCTCGCTCTTGTTTAATTAATGAGTCAGGATGCTTGGCTCACTATCTCCACTAATCGTGTGAATAAATCTTGCCGTTGACTTCTCAGGCACAGATAACAATATATTTATGAGGCCGTAAAGAGAGGGGAAAAAAACCTTTCACAGCGGTTGGTCTCAGTCTGGCCGGCTGTCGTAAAGCCCGGCTGCAAGGAGGTGCAAAAAGGTTTCACATAAAAAAAGGAACCCTTTCATTTCAATATTTCACTGGATTAAAAAACAAAATGGTTCATCTCCATTACTTTTTCTTTAATCAGATAATTAACAAAATAATTTCCTTTTGAATGTTTGTGGCTGATGTAATTTTGTTTTCAATTCAATTTAATTTAATTGTATTTAATTAAAATCATTATATTAATGCAGCACCTATTCATAAGAAGCTTTATTTAAATGCACCCAGAAGACAAAAAAGCTCAAGTCATATCTAATTATACTGAAATGCAAAACCAAACAAACTAACTTAGCAATATAAATAATATAAACATTTAGAGATTTAGATCAAATCCAGTTTGATCATTTCTTTATTTAAAATTTCTCTTAATTATTTATTTTCTTTTTTACTACTTTTAAGCCATTTTCTAATTCACCTTATGGTATTCAGATCTTTATTAATTCAACCATTTTACTCATTCACTCATGTTTGTTTTCACATTTGTACATCTATTAATAATAATTCACTTGTTGCATCATCTTTTCTTTCGTAGATTTACTGAATAAATATTCGTTACTAATTTAAATTCTTATTAGCTATTATTTTCTTCCTTTCCTAATAAATCTTTTTCTTCAATTTTGTTATTTTTTTGTTAAAATTATAAGTTAAAAGGATGTAAATGCTCATCCTTGAAAAAACACTAAATGCTGCAACTTTTTACTCATTACTGAAGCACAATCAGGGTTTATACTCTATGTTATACATTTATACAAATATAAAGAGTGGTATTTTAAATGTTTTCACACTTAAAAAAATTAGTTTGCTCAACCAATTGCCTGCAACCCACAGATATTATATTGATGGTTTTATTGTGTGTATTTTTTCTGTTATATAAATAAAATAAATGATGCTAAATGATTTTCAAACACCAGTTTAGGTTCAGAGATATGAGAAAATGGCACAAAGAAAGAAAGACCTCCAGGCAGATGACTGCTATTCTCTGGAAAATCTAAACGAAAATGTACCACTTCTGTACAAGGAATTTCGATGAATATTTTTGAGTGGTCAAATTATCTACAGCATCAAGAAAGCCAATACCTGCCGGATGCATTAGCAACAAGCCACAAGAAGGAAACCTTTCACTTCCCTGTGAAATGTATCCTACAGCCGCGATATCAAAACCAACTGACGCAGTGTACACTACTGCCACAGTAATACGGAGGGATTGTGAGTGCTTGTGTGTCCCACAGCTCATTAATTAACTCAGACTGGTGTCATTTACGACCTGACATGAGGGTGCTAAGAGACTGAGTTGTATAGAAACACTTTATCCAGCTGAGCTGAGTAGAGGGCAGTAACAAGGCTAATAAGATGTTCTTATAACCGTGGGAACTCCTACACGTCTCTTGGACAACTGAATTTTACCAGCAGTCCCAAAAGAGACCAAGTAGACCTCATAAGTCTTGATTTTTATCAATAAAAATGCGTTTGCTGTTGAGACAAGGAATTGCAAAGTTAAAATGTGAGTGATAATTTAATGGGAAGAGAAAGGAAATGCACGTTTATCCACAGCCTGAGGTCTTTCTCCTGCTAACAGGCATGTCTAATACCCACAGCCTGGCTGTTTTGTCTGCGGCTCTGAGGTTTCAGCCACAGGTCAGAAGGTAACACTCTGTTTACACGATCATTTCCTAAAGCACTCATGGTGACCCGCTGGTGTGAAAGTTGACTTTTTTTCCAGGGCCATTGTGGAGGATCGAAGAATTGCAACATTAGCTACAGCTACTAGGCATGAAAGGAGCCTGAGGGTGGGGGGTCCTGAGCTTAGGGGTGCCCCCCACCAATTTGCTGACCCTCACACTTGGTGGGACCTCCCATCAGCCTCGTCATCATAGTCCATTCAGGCAAACTGTACCAGTGTCAGTGACATTTCCCCACAAAGACACACTCCTTTGCAAAGTCTATAAACAAGCTTTCTTCTGGCCAATTCATCGCACGGTGACACCCCTGAAAGAGCCCTCTTCATAGGGCCTGTTCTCACTGGAGTTTGTGCTGGGGTCTTCAACAGGCCTTCCGAAGGGCAACACATTGATAGGGGATTGACGTTAATTTATTACATGGCCCAGAACCTTGCTCCCAGGCTCCTCTGACCAACAAAGCAAATC